TACTACTTATTTACAACTTCTGCCAATTGTGTGAATCGTCGCAAACGAATGATGCAATAGAAGACAACTTAGACCTGATGTATAGCGACACAAGTCATGGCCCGCAAACGGCTGCTGCAGCTAATCAACAGGTGCTGTTCATCGATCACGGCGGAGGTGCCATAAGTCACATCAGACGAACTTCATACCTACCCAACCCATCCCTGCCCTCTGTGCCATCCCTGCCATTTAGGTCTCATGTCAATCACTATCCCAACTCTCTCTTTGAAAATAACTTCGCTGACGAGCCTCACGTCAATGCCTTTCCCGATGATATACCTCGCATATTGGAAAGACATACCGGTCCCATCACTCCCAATCCCATCAATATTGAACCATACAATCCATCCCCACTGCCATTCATAGCACATGACCCTCGACAACAACCCACACCCCAGTCATTGCCGCATCCAATATCACAACCAATGCCACAAGTGATACACCAACCCTTCCCACAGCATATAACACATACCATTCCTCAACAATTTCTACAGCAACAGAATCCGCAACATATTTCTCATCCTATATCGCAACAGATCCCGCAGTTAATACAGCACCCGGTTGTTCAGCCACTGCAACAACCAGTACAACATCCCAACTATAATCCAAATCCTTATCCCATTCCGCAACCCATACGACACTCACTTGAAGCGGACATTGAAAACGAAAGGTTTTTAATAAATAACGAAATCGAAAGAATACCGAAGCCTTCAAACGATGTGAAACCAACGCGAAGAGAGCCGCCGCCACCACCACCTCCACCACCAGCACAGGAGCAGCCAGTGAACCCATTCTTCAACTTCGCCGACGGACCCGAATTATTCCAAAACTTTGACTCACCTTTTGATCCGTTTTTGCCACAAAACGTACCGAACTTCCAGAGACGACGATTGACGACAAACAACAATTTACAGGACTTGAACCACAACTCCATCGGATACCCGCCCTATTCGTACTACAAGGGCGGCGGAGATGAGAACCCATCGCTTACTAATTGGCCAAAAATATTCAAATTCACAGACGGAAGAAGTAATTTATATGATTTCGAGAAACAGAAAAAGCAAAACAAAATCAAATTCAACTCAAAAGAGACTTATTTCGATAACATAAGTCGCGACTCGTTTCTCATACTACACGGCGGGACGTTTGCTCAATAGGTCCCAACACTTCCACCCAAACCATCATTTAGTCTTTTTGTAATTTATATAAATTTTTAAATAAATTAATTTTAAAATTGTTTTTCAATTTAATTAAATAGCAATTGTGTAAAAATGTAGAGACAATGCAATTAACAAAATCTATTCACAATATTATGACTTATGGCTGGAAATAAAGGCCGCAAAATGCCTCCTGAAGTGCGCGATGACAGGGATAGTGGGAGAGGAAACCCCCGGACAAGTCCTGAACACTCGATGGCTTCACGTTCTTTAGGTAACCTTCAGACTGAAGTGACGCCAGTTTAGGACATTCCGGACCATTGAGATCCAGTTGAGGACTACTATATCTATACAACTGTCCCTCACTTTGTTTGGCAATCGGCACAAACACATTGGATCCCTTTCCGATTGTAATGCCTGTCGAAAACATCTGCACTTTGGGTGCAATCGACTTAATATCGGCGCCTTTAGTCACTTCACCGGAAGTGCTCTGAAGTCTCTGTTCTGTCACATGAGTGGCAAGTATTTGTTGCGCCGGAAGATCAGAGAACATGAGTTCGTCGACCAGAGACTCGCGAAGTCTTGTCTTGTTTTTAATCATTTCTTTGTCTTCATTGAGAAAGTATTGATTCCTAAGAATGGATTCTTGTTTCTCTTGTTCCAGCAGTTCCTCAATCAGTTCCTCGTCTTTACTCAGTTTTCCTCTATTTTTGATGATCTGGTTTTGATTCTCAGTCTTATAGGTCTCCAACTTCTTGGTGGTCGCCGTCACGTCTATACCATTCGTCAGATTGAAGACAATTTCCTCGATTTCCTCTAAATAGTCGTTATATTCTTGAAGTGATTCAAAGTCCTCCTGTTTTTTGTTGTAATGTCTTAAGACATCTTTGCGGTGAAACATCTCCTTCTCAACCAAATGGTCGTCGAAGAGTTGTATCCGAAAGTGTGTTCTCCTGAGAGCCGCACCACACGACTCCTGAGGACACTGTCCGCTGCCTTTCGAGAACAGTCTCTCCACACATGTCTCGCATAAGGCGTGTCCGCACACATTCACCATCAGCTTAAGAGATGGGTTCCGGTATTTAGTGGACCCACAGTGGGGGCACTTCATGTCCTCATCCATGACCACACTTTTAGCCACAGATCAGCTCTTTGTATCAATTTGTCAAATACTTTAAAATTGTGATCAATCTATGAATGCATTCATTGGACACATGTATGCCATCGGACTAGAGGTCATTGAATGATAATTACATAAAACACTTGAATATAACGTAAAGACAATCAATAGTTAATGAAAAGCTCTTGTAATCAGTTGTCAATCAGTGAACCACTCATTCAGATCTGCATTCAATTCACTGTCACAGCAGTGATGACAATGACATCCAAACACGTGATGTCTGTATGAATGGTCAATAGTTAATGAAAAGCTCTTGTAATCAGTTGTCAATCAGTGAACCACTCATTCAGATCTGCATTCAATTCACTGTCACAGCAGTGATGACAATGACATCCAAACACGTGATGTCTGTATGAATGGCTCAACCATTGAATGGTTCAATACGTGGACACTTTGTCTTGGGATGTGACTCGTGAGTGAGTGGACACAACACGTGCTCTATTGTGGTGACAGTGGAGAGTGTAGTGACCGGTTGTAGTGATAGTGGGATCAGTGCCACAGTCTAACGGTGTGAATGAGTGGTGAGTGAAGACATGCGCACCACATCTTCGCCACAAATAAACAAATCATCACTTTTTGTGACACGATTTTCATGGTTTACTCCTTCAGAGCATATAATCTGCATATTTGTGGTCATGTCTTGCGGATGGTGTGCAGCGGTGGTGCCGTTCTCCTCATAATCGTGTGATTTGGTGGCGATTATCATTGACTGCAGCCATGATTGAGATCAGCGCTCGTCTCACTCGAGGAGCCGTTTACTTCACTGAAGAGACCATCAAATGTGTGATCACTTTCACGAATGTCAACCAACTGTCCATTCATAGC